AAAAAAAACCCAAAAGGAAAAATTCAAGCATAAAAGAAAAAATAATTACCTGTATCAAATCAAAAACTTACAAGGCAGAAAAGTCAAAAAACAAAATAAGCGCCAGTAAACAAAGACAAATTCATATTGGGTTCTTCTTTTAAATGAAAAAGAACTCTAAATCACTAACACTCAATAGAAAAACAGAACAAGACAATGAACAAATTCATGTGGCAACACTTTCTCTCTTGCCCATGGGATGATGGGATAATGGGTGCTCATATTTTGCTGCTCATGGTCCTTTTAATGGAAAATATTATGAAAATATATAAAAGTGAAAGAAAACACACTCTTCTTGACTAGTTCTAGTTTTTTTTTTTTCTTTAATGTTATTTTTTAGAGAAGAAGAAACTTTGAGGAGGGGGCAGAGGGGGAGCCAGGATCTGGAAGCAGGCTCCATGCGGCAAGGAAACTTGATGCATGGCCCATCACAACCATGGGATGACAGGCAAAGTTGAGGGCCATGCCAAGCTGGGCCACCCAGGTCTTACCAGCAGTTGATTTCAGTTTAGGGAGGTTGCTCTATAAATCCCACATCCATAGATGTGTGAAGCGACTTGTGTAATGACAAGTGAGTAGCATTCACCCCCCAAAGCTTTATTCAGGTATAATTCCATCCAAATAGAATTCACTGATTTTAAATTATGGTTTTGACAGTTAATGTAGTTATGCATGTCAATTATATGTGTAGTCTACCATGTCTCCTCTAAATTTTTACATGATCCTCCTGTGACCTCTGGCTATGTCTGTAATCATGCTTTCTACTATAGTTTTTTGTTTTTTTTGTTTAAACATTTATAGGTGTCACTGTTAATATATAATTTTGCCTTTTCTGGAGTTTCATGTAAATGAAACATATAATATTATATACTGCTACAGAGTGTCTTGCCTTTTCTGTGCTTTGACTGCTTTCGCATACTGTTTTTAGAATTTATCAGGTCTTATTCTGTAATAAATACTTTAATTTCCTACTTGTGGTTGAATATTTATTTCATTATATGGATATATACCACATTTGTTTATCCATTTATCATTTAGTACATATTTGGGTTCTATTTTTTACGGCAGTAATAGTAATGTGATGAACATTAACATACGAGTCTTTTTATGGTGGGAATGATAGGTTTTCATTTCTCTTATCATCTGGGGATTGGTTTGTTGGGTCACATTATGAAATTGTATTTACCTATCTTGCATAAGGTATTGACAAACTTCTTTCCATAAATTCTGTACCATTTTTTCCGTTCTTCTTTTTTTTTTTTTTTTTTAAGTTTAAAAGTTATTTTTGAAGAGAGAAGTGAGCATGTGTGTGTGATACCCAAGCAGGAGGCAGAGAGAGGAGAGAGAGGGAGCCCCAGGTGGCTCCATGTAGGCAGCACAGTGAGACTCCATCTAAACTGTGAGATCATGGTCTGAGATTGGAATAAGGAGGTGGTTATAACCCATTTGAGCTACCCCAGGGGCTGGCTACTACCACCAATGCCCTTTCCATTTGTCACAGCATTTTTGAAATTATATTTCCATATCTACACCAACACTTGGTAAGGTCATTGATTTTAATTCTTTAAAATTTAATTTAATTTAATTTTAATTTTAATTACTATTTTACTAAGCTTCAAATTATTGTCAAATTGGTTTCCATACAACATCCATATATCATCCAACAGGTGCCACTCCTCAATACCACATCACCCATCTCTCTCCCTCCACCCCCATCAGCCCTCAGTTTGTTCTCAGTTTTTTAAAGTCTCTTATGCTTTGGCTCTCTGATTTTTTAATTTTAAACATATCTAATAGATGTGTAGTCAGTATCATTGTGGTTTTTTTAATTTTGTGTTTCCCACATGACTAGTGATGTTGAAGCATCTTTTTACATGCTTATTTGCCCTATTTTTTGATGTTTATCCAATCTTTGCTACCATGGTCTTACTGATTGTTGTCTTACTAATTTTTAAGAGTTCTTGGGGTGCCTGGGTAACTCCAATTCCGGTTGTGCGGCGTCGACTTTAAAGCTCAGTCGATCTCGCATGGGTCCGTGGTTTGAGCCCTGCATGAATACTGGGCTGATAATGAGCTCGAGCCCTATGGAGCCTGCTTGCCTCGATTCTGTGTCTCCCTCTCTCTCCTGCCCTCCCGTTCTTCACTCTGTCTCTCTGTCCCAAAAAATAAATGGGGTGAAAAAAAAAAAAAAAAGAGTTCTCAATGTAGGGGCGCCCAGGTGGCTCAGTCAGTTGGGCGTCTGACTTTGGTTCAGGTCATGATCTCATGATTCATGGGTTCGAGCCCCACATTGGGTTCTGTGCCGACAACTCAGAGCCTGGAGCCTGCTTTAGAATCTGTGTCTGCCTCTCTCTTTGCCCCTCCCCTGCTTATGCTCACTCGCTTTCTCTCAAAAATAAATAAATAAATAAACATAAAGTTCTCGATGTATTCTGAAGACAAGCCATTTGACAGATAAATGTTTTACAAATATTTTCTCTCACTTTATGGCTTTCTTTCTTTTTCTTTTTCCTTTTTTTTTTTCACCTAAACTGTCTTAAGACCAAACTTAAATTTTGATAAAATCTGTTTTATCAGTCTCTTTCTCTTCAGATTCTTGCCATTTGGGCCTTGTTTCAAGAACTCTTTGCTTAGGGGCACTTGGGTGGCTCAGTCAGCTGAGCGTCTGACTGCCTCTTGGTTTCAGCTCAGGTCATGATCTCACGGTTTGTGGGATCAAGCCCCAAGTGGGGCTGAGTGCTGATAGCGAGGAGCCTGCTTGGGATTCTCTCTCTCTTCTCTTTCTCTCTCTCTCTCTCTCTTAAATAAACTTAAAAAACAATCTTTGCTTAACCTAATGTCACATTTTATTTGTTTTCTTTTAGAAGTATAATATTTTTAGCACATTTATTTACTTCAGTAATTACTTTTTAGTTAATTTTAGTGTATGGTGTTGAGGTAAGGGATGGGATTAATTTTTTTCCTCCATACAGAGATCTTCTCCCAGTGCCATTTATTGAAAAGACTTGTCTTTTCCCATTGGATTATCTTGGCATCTTTGTAAACAAATCAATTGATCATAAAATGTGTATCTACGTCTGATGCATTGAACTCTACATCTGTCTTTACATTAATATCACACTGTCTTGATTAAGATAGTTTTATTAGTAAATCTTAAAATTAGGTAGTGTAATTCCTTCAACCTCATTCTTTTTAAAAATGTTTTGACTATTCTAGGTCCTTTACTTTTCCACAGCAACTTTAGAATTAGCTTGTC